AGTGCAAAAGAGAAACCCCGATAAAAAAAGCCTAAAAACACGCTAAAAATACCCCCCAAACCCAAACCTCTGCTTGGAGAGTAGGCCTGTTCATCATCACTGCACAGTAAGCTTGGGGCGAGTACATTAAAAGATGGGGGTGGCATTCTTGGCACACGTGATATTTCTCGACTTAAACACTTTAAAATAAGTAGTTTAGTCAATTATTAACTTCCATTGAGTCCTAAAAATGTTTTTAACGTAAATTCTTGGTACGATACGTTTTCAAATTCAATATCTTTCGGTACCCCATAATTCCTACTTGTCTTGTGGTCCAGTATGCACCGATGACGTCACACAAGATGGCGGTAAGTTTGACCAAGGAGTAAGTAACGCTACTAGTCTTAGTATCCCATTCCCAAAACAAGTTGTTTTCAGAGTTAAGAAGACTCAAGTAGCCCAGTTTACGTATCAAGGAGCCGGAATGATGTTGGAGATTATGATTAGGGTGGGGTTATCTTCTACCAGTTTGCAATGTTCTCTGCTTTTGCCCAAGTTTTCGCCAAGACAAAGGTCCCTCCACAAAAGATGGTGCTAACTGATATTTAAAATGTATTGATAATTTGACTCTTTTCAGTTTTGGTTTCAACGACTTTTTCTAAAGTTTATATCGTATTTCCAGTAATCAACATTTGATAACAGTAAACCACTAACGGGGGGGGGGCACATTCTAGTAGGGTCCATATTCCGGTAAGGCCATGTTGATTTGATTATATGGATGACATCCGCGCGCGCATGAATTTTAGTCCGTTTCAAAAAAAAAAAAAGTTTTCAACCATGCTGTAAATCGTACAAAACAGTTGCAAAATGAGCAAAGACATACCATAATTTGCAAAAAATGATACCACTGTCGTAGAATGCCAAAATCAAACCCAAAAAGACGAAAATGTAAAGAAATGAATTTGAAGAGTAGATTATTCGCCAGACCACACTCTGTGTTATCTGTTCAACCTTCAAAACCACGTAGATTTTATAATGAAAACACCTTTTTTTTTAGCCAAACTTTTTTTTTATTCGCACGCTCGCATCAGTTTAGGGGTTCCCAGAGGATGTCATCCATATAATCAAATCAACATGGCCTAAGGACAAAGACAACAGTTAACGTTATGTTCTAATTGATTAAGACAGCTGAAATTTTCTGTGTCTTGTTACTGCTCCAATGTTCAGTCCTCTGTACTTTATGATGATTTTTAGTATTTCTAGTATGACTTGCTAATATCGGTAAGTAACAAACACCACAAGTTGTAGAATAATGTTGCTTACTTTATTTTACATGCAACTTTAACTACTAAAATACTAGTAACGTTAACGTTACATTTCAGTTTCATTTTTCAAGGTATTATATTAAAGAATCATCATTATCACTTATGTTAATGCTTAGAGCTAATTTTCATAGTTAATTTGATACACAACAAACACACAAATACTAATTCATGTACATTTGTACATGTATCTTTTCCAGCACACTCAAACAAGTAACGCTTAATTGATAATAATTTTGATACACATCCTAGTAGTAATGGCAATTTTAAATGTTATATATGTCTAACTAAACAGCTTCTTGTTGTGATACTCTGTCATTTGGCAAAAAAAATATAATACTTTTATGTACATCTTTATCATTACTTAAGCCTTTTTTATAGTGCAAATTTAAATCATTCTGTTAAAACTATGAATAATAGCTACTAGTCCAAACGAGCTGACATATCAGGAAGACAACGCCATTTTGTCTTTTGTAAGTAGTACTTCTGAATACTTTTACGTAGTATTGATACATATCAGACAATAATTTTAAAACCAATTACCATGTATCATTATTTTTTAGTTGCTCTCTCTTCTTCTAATTTTCCATATTCCTCGCGAATTAGCTGCAACAAGGTATCTCTTTGGTCATTGGTTAGTGATGACATCACTCCCGGCAGGCTGTGCTCTGTGATTGGTTCCTGGCTTGGCTGTTGCCCTGTGGTTGGTTGCTGGGATGGCTGTGCCATTGGCTGCTGTACACCCCCATGGGGAGAAGGTTGTGTGTATGCTCTGACTGGGGTGGAGCGCAACTGGTCCAAGAAGCTGAGGTTTGTTCTTTCAGGTTCATACTGTTTGAAGTAAGAAAACAATATTAGCTACACAGTTGTCTCAGTTTCTCATTTGCTGTTGCATGATATCATGTCTCATATTATGTGCAGTCTTGAAGTCATATTAGCAGCATTTATATTTTTTTTCTTGATTTATGTACATGCATCATAAATCCTTAACCCATAAATGCTCAGATGCAAAACAGTACAACAATAACAGTACAGTATGGTTCTTACCAAGGACCCATTCAGTCCCCCAACAGATGGTCTTGGGTAGTCATAGATGGGATTCTGCATCATCACACCTGGTCCTGCAGACAAGAAAGATACCAGTATCATTGTGCTGTTCTATATCTGTATAGCTGGTATAACCATCAGCATAACACACCAGCTGTTAGATTTTAATTTGATGGATGTATTCTGAGTTTAATTGTTAAAATGTTACCACAAGTGACAGATTCTACTCATTTATTTTACTCATCCAATTCTGTGATTTTTTTATTAGCAGTCTTTCCAACAAAGATTGAGACCAAAAGTGCTGTAAGCTGTACTCACCAAGGTCGCCATATCTTGACATCATGGCTGGTGTCTCAGGTTGCCATACCAGGTGAGAAGATGCCCTTCCAGGTTGTATTTGAGGAAGTTCTGTTCCCGGGGAGACTCTCCTGTAGGCCCTACCCATGGCAGGGTGGTGCATTCCGTGTCCATATGGATCAACAGCCGGGGTGGGCTGTGCCATTGTGGAGAAACGAGGTGCACGGGGGGTGCTAGTCCTGACAGAAGGGTGCCCACCATACACAGTGTCCACCATTGCTGGGGTGTAATATGGGTCATGATAAGGAGTCCTGTCTCCAGACAAACTAATCCCAGTAGGAGGGGTGAGCAACTGTGGTACCCGCGGTTCTGAAAAGGCTTGGCGCGGCGGACGTGGTGACAGCCCTGTTGATGTGGATTGCAGGCTGTCATCAGGGGCAACTGCTGCTGTTTTTGGTCTCAGCTTCCTTTTTGCTGTGCCCTCACTCTTCCTGTCTCCAGTCTTTCCTGACTTCACAGTACCACGCTCTGTTTCTGTGACTGATCTTGATGTGACAGAGTCTTCCACTCTGGACTCCTCCAATGGAAAGGCTTCTTCCAAGAGACGTTGGACCTCCTCATCATCCCTCAGTTGTTGTGATGGTGACTGAGATGGTGATTGTGGTAGAGGTGCCTGTTGATGATAAATTTGGTTATCTATGTGATCTAACATCATCATAGCAGAAGGGAGAGAAATACATGTACAGCTGCTCAAGATGCAATGAGCAAGATAACTATCAAATAGAATCTGATTTGGGGTTGTGATTTTTAATGTCTATATGATTTGTTCTGTCTAGATCTACTATCGACTATTTGACAAATCAAATAATTCTTATTTCAAAACATATGTGTTTCTGAAAGATGAAGCCCTCACCATAGGAGACGGGATGCTTGCCATCCTTAGAAGCTGTACGTAAGGGTCTCCCCCTTGCCCTAAGATGGCGGCCTCTCGTCGCGCCTGTTCAGCAATGGAGCGTGGTTGGGCTGTTATTGGAATTTCTCGGCCAGCGGTGTTTGCCTGGATTAAATTGAAAATCACATTGTTATTAGAGATATTGCATAAAGATATTCCTGGGAAAATAAGAAAATTTTTCTTAGATCTGAATAATCTGAAAGTAAAAATATGTCCAGATCCAATTTATTTACCTCATCACTGATTGGTGCAACCCTGACCAGTTTTATGTTGCTGTCTGTCCGCATGTAGTCTCCGACCTTAGGCTGGGCCGCACGCATGTTCCGACCCATTTTCTTGTCCTGAAATTGAATATAGACAATATTGTGTTTCAGAGTTTGAGTACAGTTGTGCCTTTTAAAGGTTGTCATGCCCAATAATATGTAGTAGCATCCACTAGGCTAAATCCTCCATTAAAACTATTCACAGTATGCAAAGACTTACAAACTGCACTTCTCCAGGCAGCACATCAGCTGGATGACCTGAGCCAAGGCGGGAGTGTTGTGTCCTCCATCTGTTTCGCCTGGCAGCCTGCATCTTCCGGGCTACAGGTGTCATAGTAGCTTGTGTGAAGTACTGGGGTTCCAGCAGTCCCTCCAGCTACAATGAACATGGGTAGAGTACATGGTGAGAAACAGAGAAACTGAGGCTAGTATACATAGTCATAGTTTAGTATGAGAAATATGCTAAGTACAAGAAAAAGTAGGCTACAGCAAAATGCAGCATTGCCCCAATCTTATATTGAATGCCAACATGCACAAGTGTATTATAAAACATGACTGTACATTCTTGTATCTCTTTCATTTTACTTGTTAAGATCTTTCTTTTGTGCCAAACATACCTCTAAACAGTCGTTAGCATTCTTCATGTCTAACGTTTGAATTTAAAAGCATACTATCTCCATTTACTTTTGTCACCATTAATACCGGTAGTAATACCTGTTTTTGTGCATCCTCCCAGACTTCCTTCACTTTTATTCTCTGTTTCTCCTGCTGAGTCAGTGGCTTGGGAGGAGGCATGGGGGTGAGGGGCCCGTCTGCCTTCCCAGGGGTCTTTGCCGCCTGCTGCTGCCTCTTTTGCTTCTCCCGTTGTCGTTCCTTGTTGCGGAGATGTTCCACTTCGGCACGGAGCTTGATGATGGTGTCAAGTGTGTCCCAGTCTTCCTCCTTCTGTGGGGAGGAAATAAGGAGATGATTCTCTGTTGGACCTCATACAAAAGGTACTGTATCTATTTTGCACAGCACTTCAACTTCAAGTCATCTCCCTATGACATGATAATGATTTTCTCTACATTGACATATTGCAATGCGTCATTGATAATTCATCACAGCAACTTTCCAGATTACTGCATGATCCTATCTTATGGTATCTACCTTTCCCATCCCACGTATTTCTACGTCATTTATGTACTACATGTTAGAATACATCCTCACCACTGCTTTCATCTTTTTCTCTCTCAGGACCTCATCCTCTTCCTCTAGCACTGCTTCCTTTACAGCATCAACCTGGAAAAATTATATCATGATGTTTTGATGTTGAATTTATTGCATCACAGTGATAAAGGCACATTAGAAATCAATTATTCATGCAATGAACCAACAGTTCTAACATGTGATATACCGTACTGCCAACCAGCAGTTTAGGGTAGCTGACAAACAATATTGCCGCTATCAGGGGGCATCTCACCTCATTCTCAGTAGTATATTTGGTGACGAGCGGTGTGTCCTTGAGAGGAGGGAGTGATGACAGAGGCTGGAGCGGGTGGACGGTTGCCTTGAACCTGACTGAAGGCGTGTCCCTCTTCTTCTCCCCATCCTCCAGTTTGTTCATCAGGGCCACATGCTCAAACAGGGCCGCCTCATGCTCAATCTGGAGATTCAATGAAAGACAAAATTTCCTCTTTATTACTTCCTCTCTCTGATTTATTAAAAAAAGGGATGGCTCCTAGGATGCTGGCATCCATCGGAAAAGTGTCTATTCATCAGTATTCATTTTTGCTTAATAAACAGCCCAGGAAAACCCTGCTTTTCAATACATTATGTACTTGCCCCTGGTAAACTTTAGTCTTTCAAACCTGGGCTATGATTCCATTTTGAAATTTTGTCATCTGCTTTTTAACTCAAAATGGATTAACACCATTTGCTGTTATCATTTTGATCTTTACTGATCCATTCTGTTACATGATACCAAGGAGGTTTAGAAGTTTTGGTTGGATTAGGGTCATACATTCCCTCTCTTACAAAAGGGAATGCACACCTGTACTGGCAGAGTAAGTATTCACAGCTACGTCACTGCCAACTGGATAGCATTTAAGCCAACATAAGGGTCCTTTAGACTTCATGCACCAGATGTTACAGAACAGTTGGGGTAGATTAAGTTGTTTTCGGAAATTCTTAGTGGACCAAACAGCTGTCAGCTCAAACAACCTGACTTAGTGATTGTGTTAGATTGCCTAATGCTCCCATGGATAATGTGTCATACACATCTGCTGTCAGGTAATATTGACATCACCAGGACAAAATGGATTCTTGCTGTTTATGAATTATGCTTTAATAAATATCATAACTCATCTTATTATCAGGAAGGAGAAATACCTAAGATAAAGTATAGGTTTCAATGTTATGATCTCCAGTTTGCAACTTCAGTTCCAAAGGAGAAAAATCAATAGTTCTCCATACACCCTTTGATTTACCATACGTCCTCTGATTTCAACTTGAAGAGGTCTTAAGCAGTTAATGTCTTCAAAAGGATATTGTATGTTGCTCTTAGACACAACTTTCAATGACTTCTCAATGCCAGTCTAGCGTCAGATGGATATATTAAATGGACTAGAATGTTTTTGAAACCAATGACATTAACTAAGCACACTTGCACTCTTTGTAATTCAGACATTTCATCTGAACTACATCTCAACTAAAGATATATGACTTTGACTTGTCCTACCAACAATGTGTGAAATATGCTATGTGATGCTGTGCACAAATTGTAAAATATAAACCAACATTCTGAACTTATCCTATTACAGGAGTTAGACTGCTTTTGAAACAACAGGTTTCGGCTATGAAAGATAAGAAATACATGGACTTTAGCATTTTCTTAAACGTCAGCTTTAACCATTTCTAGTGTACAGTCTATAGGATTCCTTTACCAAAGAACAGTTTGAAGGTCAAAATACCTGCTTGTTTGTGGGTGGATCGACCAGGTTAGGGCAACTTAAAGGCCTCCTCTCTACAGGTCCTTCAAAAACCATATTTTCTGCCTTAGAAAAGGGTTCCGTGGATGTTTAAGACATGAGGTTGGCCGTGGTACAGCGACTACTGGTCTCCATTTTGTAATGTGTGCCCAAGCAGCTGAGACCAGCCATGCCTTGCGTGTCTCCAGGCAATCATAACAAAAGCACAATTGGGGCGGGGACAGTGGGACAAGGAACGTTACATTTATGCACAGGCGTGTTTTTCTGTGTCAACATTTATTTAACATAGCAAAGTTTGTATGCACCCCAAAACTACAGTGACTTTGTAGAAATTCAGATTTTGGACCTTGTTTTCTCTTCTTTTCAAACCTTTTTGAGCCTTTTTTAGCCTTCAAATCTGATTTTTTTTTCAACATCTTTCTTAAGAGCACCCCTTAGGGTACTTGATATGTCCTGTCCCAAGGGATTACTATGGTGTGACAGGTTGACATCCTGGACTGTTCCATTTGTCTGTCGAATAGGTTAGAGAACAATGTTGGCACCTTTTTTTCTAAAGGCATCTTAGTCAGAATTTAGGTTTCAAGCAGGTTTTGGTATAAAAGGTATTTAGGAAACCAACATTTAAGGTGTGCATGGTACAAAATTACACAATTTAGATATGATAAAGATTTCTGCCACCTCTATAAATAAATAGACATTTCCCTTTTGGGGACAATATTTGTCATGGTTGTCACCTCAGAGACTCTCCTACCAAATCAATATTTTAAACCGCTTGTCAACTGTTAAGTCAAACACAATAATCTTTATCCTATTATATATTATAGCGTGAGTCATTGTATGGTGTGGACTGTGTATGGGGTATTGCAGTATGCCTTTTACTCTTCAAAGTTTTCTGTTGGTTGCACCTTATGAGGTCCATCATACAGAAGTGTGGTAAAACTGAATGGTTGAGAAGAAGAACTTGAGTTTAACAGAGGCTTTTTCAGTGAAGAGAATTAGTATGGTTATACACTGACTGGATGTTTTTGTAAACCCCTTTAAAGCCTTTTAATCTAGCAACCGTACAGCTGTCAAATCTATTCCCCTTGCACATCTATTTCCTGTCTTTTGCATTGATGTTTTTAAGTGTCTTCTGATGTAGCTGATTGTTAAGTTTAATGAGGCATTATGGCCTGTCTTGAAATATTAATGGCAGAGATCAGGTTCTCTGTCATCTGTGCAATGTTCTTTACCAGTCATACCCAAACATCCCATTGCTAAGTTACAAAGCAGGTTTACAAGTGGGGCTGAGACTTTGAAGCTAAATGTCAACAGCATGATTTAGGACCCCTCATACTGGAATTGTAATCTTATAAGTGCACTGCTAAGCTGTATCCTGTTTGGAACAATGTGGCTTCTACATGCACAATGGTGCCCAAAAATGCAGTCAAGAAAGCTGGTTCCAAACCTTTGGTTGCATGTTACCTTAAAATATGATATGAATGGAAGATATTTAGATATCACCGGTAGCCAAGGTAAGAAACAATTTCTGACATTGGCTGCAGTTTTACAGCTTGTTTATTTTACACCTAGAAGCGACTCAATAAATCCTGAGTTCATGATTGCCTAAACCAAGGACATTCTACCTTGGGTAAACTCTTAGTTCAAACCTAAATTGTACTGGACAATATCCGTCCAGTCCAAATACAAGTCCTGTAATGTATATATATCAATAAATAATTTTGTAACAAAGATGACAAGCTGACACTCACCTGATCCATACTTGCAGCTGATTTCACACTCTCGTAAGATCCAACCAGCCGCACAGGTGGCCGTACAGGAATCTCCGTCCTCCGCGGTCTCTCGTGCTCCTTTCTATGCTTCTTGGCTGGCCCACGCCACTTCTTACGTTTCTCCTTTTTGGAGCGCTTTGGTTTCTCTTCAACTGTTAGCGTTCTGAGGGGGTAAAGTATAATTGTTAATCCAAAGTGTAGTGATTATTGATTGGTGACAACAAGTGTCCTCATGCTATAGAATTGTAAAGACTGCAGTACTACTTTCATCTGACAGAGGGTGCTATTGAACAACCACCTGTTACTGCACTTGATGCAGTACCATTACAAGCAACTCCTATATCATTAACCACTGAATGGAGCAGGCATCCAGGCCAACTCTCTGATAAAAGCATAACTTAAATAGCAGACTTTTAAACCCGCAGAACACCACAAACTTATCTGACAACAAGTATTTTTCTCACCTTTCTGCAGGTGGAGCGTCCTTGTCAGACCAGGCCTCCTTGCCAGGCTGCTTGTGGTGAGTCCCAAACTCTCGCACATCGTCCTTGTTCGGCGGGCGAGCAGGCGGGATCAGAGTTATGGAGCCCTTCGACCTGTCCACCTTCAGCCCAGATTCTGCGATCCACTCCTTGTCCTTCTGTTGGCACAAACAGAATATCTTCAGTCATTGTGTACATCCATGTCCTTGGTTGTATTAAAGCTCCTTTGTAAAAGTAACCAATCAGTGACCAGTCAGTTGCATGCCAGTATTAAAAATCACCATATCTTAGGAGTCGGCTATTCACCACACCTTTATCCCTTCAACCTATCACCACCACCATTTTAAAATCATCATCCAATCACCAATGCTCTACTATTGGGTCTGACACCACCATCCACCAATGACCATGCTGTTTGCATCACCTCTGTCTCATCCCTAAGCTGATAGCTTGTCTGCCCCTGACTTGTTTGTGGCACTCCTGGCAGCTGTGCAGGTATGAGCAGGCCTACTGAACCCAGGCCTCCCTTCTGGACATATCTCTCCGATAGTTTGTTTCCAAGATCTTCCCGCTGATGTGGAAGGTGAAGGACCATGATTGACAGTTAATATACTGTAAATCGCTGTGACGTCATCCCCGGAAATTTATTACGCCCATTTCCATTGTATTACAACTGTACAGAATTGTTTCAACCACGCTTTTAAACACTGTGAAAATATCCTTTTCCCTTCTACCAGAAATTTCCCTTCTACCAAAAATTATTAATGAATTTAGATACTAGTACATGTACTGTCTTTCTTATCTGTATCTTTGAATTGGACTTGGTAAGTTACTAAACTTTTTGGAGGGCAAGGGTAAATGTTTTTCAATGGTATCTTCTCTTTCAAAGTTTGACTATGAAGTCACCTGTGACCATATCAGAGTACATTGTATAATCAAAGCGCTCATTAGTATAATCAATGACACACAACAGAAATTTTTGTGGCTGAAAATGACATGGATAGGATGCCATACACTTCTAAGATTGTGAAATGTGGTCAGCAGACATGAGCTAACCTTTTTCGGCTGCACAGCATCACCCTTGGTGGTCACAAAGTTGTACACCAATAGCAGCACGATGATGATGAAGAGTAGGGATCCGAGGACAACCCACAAAATCCACAGCAGACTTGAAGCTGGAGCCTCTTCAGTCACCAAAGGTTGTACTGTGTACTCCTAAGAATGGCACAATCAAATGTTGCTCAAGTAGAAACAATACTGTATAGAACTTTGGATTTGTCTTGCAATGATGGGTTGGGGATTCCTTACTATAGCCTTTGTTCCCTTCTTATCCATTTTTTTGTGATTAAGCCATAGAAGGTACTAAAGGTAGAGACCATAAAACCTGGAATCATGCAGATTGTCATCACACTTATTTAGAGAAAGTTCACGAGTCATGATATGCAGTCTGTATACATACAGGTAGCTGTCTTTCGAAGGCAGACTGGTCATGTACATACATGTACCAATTTAAAAGTGAAAAGTACTCACATTGATGTCTAAGGGAAACCCTACTGATGAAGAAAGGGCCCTGACTTCCTGCTGTGAAACCTGGTTGAAAGCGGCAGTGACATCACTGGGGGGCACGGCTGTGTTGTTGTTGTTACTGTCCACGACCACAAACTGGACTTGTACCTGACCGCCTGGCAGAACTGTTACATTGGTCACCTGGGGAACAAATGATTTGAAGGGTTTTAAGTCATTTGTTGTCAGAAATTGAAGTGTAAAAGGTAAGGTGATATTTTCTAGTCTAATCTTGCCGCAGCACATGAAGTGCAATGTGTTACTGTTGTGCACCTTATCATAAAAGCACATTTCAAAGAACAATTCAAGCTTAAGCAATACACAGTCATGTATTGTAATGATCAGAACTTACCTGTATAACAAAGTTGCTTCCTGGTGCAATACTGGGAGACTGCAGTAGACGGCGTCTTTGACCAGGCTGGTTGGCCTGTTTGGATAAGGCAAGCCTGTACCACTCTTGGAGTAGGTTTGTCAGTACCTGAATGATATTTCCAATTTCATTCATGATCTGCTGCAAGTCATTTGTTAAGCTGAGAACAATCACAGTTACTTGGTTTGGCACAATGGTGCTTGGGTTCACCACAGTTACAAATGGCTGTGCTGTCGTCCCTTCCTCTGTAGTTGCCAACTCTGTTGTGTTTTCAGGCTTTGTTGTAATTGCTGCTGTGGATGGCGCGGGCTTTGTTGTAAGAGCTGATATAGATGGCACAGGTGTGTTGGTAGCACCAGTTATGGCTGGTGTTGTACTGAATGCTGTGATGTTTGCTGCTTCCGTAGCTGCAGTTGAAACAGGTGTAGCTGCCAAAGATGTGGCGCCAGCTGTTGTGGAAATGTGGGTCAAACCAGTTGTAGCAGCAGGTGTTACAACTGTAATGGCTGTTGCAGTGGATGCTGTACCAGTGCCAGCTGTAGTATTTGCAGTAACTGCCATTGTGGTTGTGCTGTCAGCAGTTGTAGCATTTCCAGCTGGAGTTGCAGCTGTAGATGCACCAGTGGAACTTACTGGAGACATGGGTGTTGTTGCAGCAGCTGTTGTGTTGGCTGCTGCTGTTTGATTACCAGAAACAGTTGTTTCAGGTGTCACACCTGTAATGGCAGTGACATTGTTGGTCACTGCTGTCACACCTGGTGCAGTGACTGTGGTGGTGTTGACCATTGTAGCAGTGGTATTTTCAACAACTGACGTCACTGCTGGCACAGTAATGACAGTTGTATTGCTCGAAGCTGTAGTGGTAACAGTTACAGCTGCAGTGATGTTTTCTGCTGCAGCTGTAGTGGGTGGCACACCTGTAACAGCTGTTGTAGTGACTGTGGTGTTTTCTGCTGCTGTTACATTGGCTGTTGTGACATTGGCTGCTGAAGTTGCAGTGGGTGGCACATCAGTAACAGCTATTGTAGTTGCTGTGGTGTTTTCTGCTGCTGTAGCTGGTGGCATCACAGCTGTGGTATTAGCTTCTGCAGCTGCAGTGACATTCTCTGTTGTAGCTGTAGCAGAAATACCTGTGGTGGATGTTATATTTTCTGCTGCTACAGTTCCTGTTGGCACGGTGACATTCACTGGCATGGTTGTGTTGAAACCAGTGATGGCTGTAGTGTTTTCTGCCATTGTGAAAAGTGGTGTACTTGCTGTGGTGACATTTTCCGCTTCTGTGGTGCTTCCTGTCACATTTGGGGCAGCAGTTGCATTGTCTGGCACTGTTGCAACACCTGTAACATTCATCACTGATGTTGCATTGTCTGTAGTAGGTAGGGTTGCAACCGTGGCAGGTGCTGATGTAGCATTATCCACTGCTGCTGTCACTGTGCTTACAACAGTTGTAACATCTGTTACGTTCACAGGAGCTGTTGCATTTTCTGTTACCAGCATAGTAACAACAGTGGTTTCTATAGAGGTAGCATTGTCTGCTATTGTTGTCATGCCAGTGACTGCTGTTGTGTTAACTCCAACTGTGGCGGTAGGTGCATCTGAAGTTGCATTTTCTGGCACTGTAACGTTCATGACCATTGTTGCATTCTCTGTAATAACAGTGGTTGCAACCAATGTTACATGGTCTGCTGTTGGCGTTATGTCTGTGACATTGACGTTGGTAGTTACGTTGTCTCCTGCGGGTGTGGTAGGAGATGTGGTTGTGGCATTGACTGGCATTGTCACACCTGTAACGTTCACTCCAATTGTAGCATTCTCTGTGACAAGTGCTGTAATGACAGTGGTCGCAAGAGACGTGATGTTTTCAACCGGTGTTGTTTGGCCAGTTACATTGACAGCAGCTGTGAAATTGACTTCTGTGGTGGTGCCGACTGCTGCAGTGGCATTTTCTGCCATAGTAACATCCGTAACATTTACTGCAGTTGTATTCTCTGCAGCAGGGGTTGTTGTCACATTGACTGCATCTGTGGTAGTGGGTAGCATTGTTGGAGCTGTCACAGCTGCAGTGGCAGTTGCAGTAACATCTGTAACATTCACAAGTACAGTTGTTGCAGCGTCTGTAACATTGATGGTTTCAGCTGATGTAACGTTGTCCAAGCTTGATGTGGTGCCAGTCACATTTGCCACAGGTGTTGTATTTAAAAGTCCTGGTGTGCTTGTAATAGCAGTCACGTTATCCGTCACTGTAGTTACGTTTCCCACTAATGTGGCAGCCACTGTTGTACTTTCTGTGGTTGTGGCATTGCTCCCGGGCATGGTGGTATTGTTAAGTACTGTTGTAATGCTTGTAACAAATGCTGTTGGATGGGCTGTTGTGTCGTTTGAAAAACCTGTGGTTTCAGTTGTAACATTGGGAGAAGTTGTGACATTTGCCGCAGGGGTGGTTGTCACAGGGAGTCTGCCAACTGTTGGCATTCCTGTGATGTTTAAGGAAGATGCCACACTCGCGGTGATGTTGCTGAATTCCTCGGAGGTAACTTGGCTGAACGTGTTGATTGCTTGATCTGGATCCACTATTGGGTCGCTGCTGTTCAGGTTTACAACGACAAACAAGATCTCCAGCTGCCCTCCTGCCTTGACTGTCACATTGATGATCTAAGGAAAAGATGGAACATATAAAACTTCATTAACTTTTGTCAGTCATAAGTCAGTGGCAAAGATATGCTTTTTTAAAGTTTTTGAGACATTTCCATGCTATTCATTGAAGCATCTATGATACACCTGACAACTCTACCATGTATAAAACTTGGTAACAGTTGTAGACAGTTCAACATATAGGAAGTTACTGTTTATAAAAATACAGTATGGTACAACAAATCTATAGTAATCATGATAGACTGACCTGGATGTCAAAGCTGCTTTCAGTTGCAGACGCAGTAGTAGCAACTGCAGGTGTAGTACCAGTCATTTGCAGTAGGCGGCGCCTCCCAGGCATTGGGTTGGCTGGCTGTTTGGACAGCCCCAGGAAGAACCATCCTTGAGCAGGGGCCAAC